ACCACGCGCAATCGACAATCTGGAGCCAGCCACCCGTGAGTGCAACGAAGTCGAACCCAGCATTCGAGGACGCAATCTGCCTCAAGGACACCGCGAGAGTGTTGGCGAACCCTGGGGTTTGCACGGCCGTGCGCGGGAGCTGCGCAGAGGAGTTCGGCACGGCTGTGATGAGCGGTGCCGCGGATCATTTGGCCTGGCAGTTCGAGAACTCGAGTTTTCCTGCAGCACAACTCCCTGACCCCACGGAGGAGCCCAGGAGTTATGGACCCGAGCCCGCGGAGCATGGTCATGGAGAGGTTCCCAGGGACGTTTCGGAGAGACCTGAGTGGGGCAAAACACCGCAGGAGGTTCGAGCAGAGATTCGCGAGGCACTGCAGAAGACGGTGAAGGAGGAGTCCATGCAGCACCCTGCGGAGGAGGAGGAGGTTGCAGCCTCCTGGTCAGAAATGGAGCTTCCAGAGGTGGTGCGGCAGGACATCATGATGAAGATTCCGCGAAGTACGCGACGTGCTGTGCGCAAGGCCCATCGCGGTCTTGGACACCCCAGCCGACCGACGTTCATCAAGATGCTGCGTCTCGGCGGTGCCACACCTAACGCGTTGGCATACGCGAAGCATTGGCAGTGTCCGACTTGTGCTGAGTCGGAGGCGCCGCCCCGTCCGGTGCAAGGGACGGCGGATGTGCGACCATTCGGCTTCAATGTGACGGTTGTGATCGACGTGAAGTACCTACGGGACGCGGCCAAGGAGCAGCTGGTGGTCCTCAGCATGGTGGATGCCGGTACGGGATGGCACTGCGCCTGCCTTCTCAAGAATAGGACGGCCAAGCACGTAGCACGCCAGATCATGAACGAGTGGTTCAAGCATTACGGCGTGCCAGAAAACATCGTGATCGATCAGGGCGGCGAGTTCGAGGGCTACTTCAACGCGTTGATGGAGCAGTTCGGCATTAATACGAAGACGACGGGAGCTCATGCAGCATGGCAGCATGGCCTGGCCGAGCGCCACGGAGGATTGCTCGGCACTATCTGGGGCAAGGTGGTGCACGAGTTCCACGTCCAGGGCAAGTCGATGTCTACTGTGGCCCTGGCTGCCATCATCAATGCGAAAAACTCCACGATCAGCCGCAATGGATTGACCCCGGAGCAGGCTGTCTTCGGGCGGATCTTGAACTTTACGGAGGTGACTAACAGGGACGACGATGAGGTTCTCATGTCGGTCCTCGGCGCCAAGGGCATAGCTTGGCGTTCGTCCCAAATCCGCACCGCAGCAAAGATGATGTTGCTGGAGCGCGACGCGACGGACAAGGTGCGGAGGGCGTTGCTACGACAGGCGCCGACGGTCGTCGGTGATCTGTGCCCAGGATCGAGGGTGTATTTCTGGGCACCGAATCCGTTCAAGGGACGTCGTCGGCAAGATCCTGAAAGATGGCGGGGTCCTGCGACTGTGATCGCGAAGGAGTCCAACAGCCGTTACTACGTATCCTGGCGTGGTCACGTGCTACTTGTTGCTCGTGAGCAGCTCCGGCACGCCTCCTCCCAGGAGGCCGCAGCTGCGGAGTCCATCCAGACGGACGTGCGACTGACACAGCAGCGAGATGACCGCGCTTACCACGACATCGTGGACGTCACGCCCAAGGTGAAGGTTCAGAAGGTGAAGAAGACGTTCTTGAAGAAGGAGCGTGACCGACATGGGGAGCTCGAGGGGTCCAGGCAGCCTCGTGTGGACCTGAGGGCCCTGGACGCCATTGAGGGACAGGCCAAGGAGGAGGAGCCGCCTGAGCAGCAGCAGCTGCCGCAGCTTCCCCCTCCGAAGAGGGAACGTTCTCGTTCCCCTCCAGGGCGGATATCCTCTGAGGTGTACCCGAAGGCCTCTCCGGGAGCATCGGGCTCTGGCGGCCCTTCGGTGCCGCCGATTCCCAGAGACGATTTCGAGCTTGAGCGAAAACGGAAGTTCCTGGTAGATGACGTGCCGATTTGCATCAAGAAGACGCGTCTGCAGGCTGCTCCTACGAGTGGTTTGCCGGCCCTCCGCGAAGTGGCCATGAACGCCGTTGTGCACTCGGGGCCTCAGGAGTGGTTCGACCAGAATGCCTTGGATGGTGTCTCCACGCTCGTTCAGAAGGTCGTACGAGGAGTACGTGTACACCGAGAGCCACGGCGGAGACTCTATGATCACGACCGCCACCGGGAGTGCAATCGCCTCTCGGTGATGCTCTCCGCTACGGGCCAGTGTGCCTACAAGGACGACGGCGCGAACCGTGCCAACGAGCGCACGGAGGACAGCTGGGTTGGTCTCACGCTTTTCTACCACGACAAGCCGGACGCTCATGCACAAGGGGTGTACTATTTGGACACTCCGGAGGGGCTTGTACGACAGCCGATGACTTACGAAGAATGGATCAACGTGTCATCTGTGTATGACGCATGGCTGCAGGAGGCCAGGTACGAGCACGACGTGTTCGCACTCGTGATGAAGCAGAACGCGAAGGAGCTAGACCCACGTCACTTCAACCAGCACGAGAAGGCTAAGTTCGACGAGGCCGATGCCGCCGAGTGGCGGCAATGGATCGCCAACAACACGGTCGAGCTGGTCACCGAGGAGGAGGAGAAGAGCATCCCGAAGGACAAGATCATCTCGGTGCCCATGCGTTCGGTTCGCACGAACCGGGGACGAGGGCCGGAGCTGGAGGCGAAGTCTCGCTTGATCATCCCTGGCCATCTCGATCCGCAGCTTGGTCTATTCAGGACGGATTCGCCTACTACTTCCCCTTTGGCTGTGCTGGTGTGTGCGTCTATCACAATGGCGATGGATTGGACATTCGAATGTTTCGACGTAGCGACTGCGTTCCTGTCCGGGCTGAAGCTGGAACGGGAGCTGTATGTGAGGGCTCCTAAGGACGGGCTTCCAGCCGTCGACGGTGCTGGATGGCCAGCCGTGCGGCCTTATGCGTTGCTGCGCTTGCTGAAAGGGGCGTACGGTCTGACTGAGGCGCCTCGGTTGTGGTATCTCCGAGCCCGCCAGGTGTTGACGGACGAGGTCGGTTTCGTGGAGCTGCGCTGTGCTCGAGCTGTCTTCGTTTATCGAATGAAAGACAAGTTGATCGCTATGTTGACCTTGCACGTCGATGACGGCATGCTGTTTGGAGACCCACACGATCCCCAGTACCAGGAGGTGAAGGCGAACATCAACAGTCGTTTCAACATCAAGCACTGGAAGAAGGGCAACGACAAGGAGGCAATCGCCTATCTCGGTGAGGAGTGGTGGCGCCACCCTGATCACATCGAGATCAGCATGCACGAGTACATCGGCAAGCTGACGAAGCACCCCCTTGCAAGGGGTGACAACGAGGAGCGGGAGATGACTCCCGAGGAGCACCACGACTACCGGAGCTTGCTCCAGAAGGTGCGGTGGCCTGTCGCACGCGTGGTGCCACAACTCGCGTATAGTGTCTCGGCGCTCGCACAGAAGGATCCGAAAGGTCGGAGGTTGCTGCACCTGCGAGTGCTCAATGACATCATCGACCGGCTTCAGGACTACGACAAGAGAGGTCTTGCGACTCTCCGGATCCGCCGCGTGGACATCGAGCGCTTGCAGGTGCCCACGCTTATGGACGCTTCGTTTGCGAAGGAACCCGGCTGTAAGAGCCAGATGGGGTTCATGAGTATGATTACGGACACCCGAGTTTTGAAGGAGCTAACCGTATGTTGTCTAGTGGAGTTTCAGAGCAGTACTATTACACGAGTTGTTGGATCTACGATGGCCGCAGAATCTGCGGCTATGTCCGTGGCTTTGGATCGGCAGCTTTACCTCAGGCTGCTGATTGAGGCAATCTTGTACGGGGAGCCGCCCTTGCAAGGGGACTGGAGGCTGGCGCTGAAGGTTCCAGGGGCGCTCGTGACGGATGCGAAGTCGCTCTACGATCACACGTCCAAGATCGGGTCGATGCCGGTGTCTCGGCAGACCCTCATTGACTTGCTGGTGGCCAAGGATTTGATAGAGCAGGAGGCCATCAAGTTCAAGTGGCTGCCTAATAGCCACATGCTAGCGGATGTGTTGACAAAAGCCGTGCAGCCTAACGAGGTACTATCGCAGTTCCTCCGCCACGGCCTGTTCAGCATGGTGCCTACTGCTGAGCAAGAGGATGAGGAGGCACACCGTCTGCGGCTGCGCCGCGGACAGCGTGAGCGAGCCAAGGAGCGGAAGGCCCAGCGTCGGGTCGCCGTTCCAGGGCCTGCGAGCCCGTGAGGTCCTGATTGCAGCTGCTGATGGACCTAGTGAGGGCTACGGTGATGTATGCATATCCTTTGAGTTGATCGTCTGGAGTAGTGTATCCAGATATTCATATTCTTGTATTTATATTTTGAGCCTCAGGCCGCACCTTGCTTGAGGTGTCTCATGCATATCTTTTGAGTTGACAGTCTGGATTGGTGAATCTAGACATTCATATTTATATTTCGAGCCTCAGGCCGCATCTGCTTGAGGTGTTTCGGCCCGTGGGCTGATATACATTATAATTGCGTGCAGCGTTGCCCTTTCAGAGGGAGCGGCATCGGGGCAGCATTGTACTCACCCAGTGTGAAGAGTGCACTCCCCTGCCCCTCTGCCGCCCGTGCCACCATGTGTGTATGTTGTACACGCTTGTCTTGTTTTGTGGCATGCACGCTGCCCGCCGCTGTTTTGGCCCTAGTCCTAGGGCCCTGGGACGCACCCGCAGTTGGACTGCCGCGCGGTCTTTGCTGAAAACAACTGCACTGACACCCGGGTGCCCGGGCGTGCCCGGGGGCGCCCTATAGCCCTAAGCCCTATAGCCCTATAGCCCTACAACTCTATCCCCGTAGCCCTATATATATATATAGAGAGAGAGAGAGAGAGCCCTGATTGGGTTTTTTCTCCGGTATCATTATGTTTTCTTCCCTCGTCTTGCAATTTTAGGCGAATCTGCGACAGATGTGCGTAACCTTGGCCGAACGGACCTCTTTCCAGAGTGGTTCGCGGGAGTCGCCCCTCCCCCACCCCCCACCACGAGCGGCTTGCGGGAGCCCACCTGAATTCGGCGGCGGGCCGAGGGGGGAAGCGAGAGGGGGCAGGCTTTCTCAGAAGGTTGCGAGGCTTCTCAGAAGCTCTCTGGCCTTCTGAGAGGCCCTTTCTGTCTTCGGAGAAGGCTTGGAAAGCTTCTCAGAAGGCCGCAGGCCTTCTAGCCTTCTGAGAAGGCTCGCCCTGTCTGCATTCCCCCTTGAGCTCGCCGCCGATGAATGGACATGCAGTCGTGATGACGCTTTTCCTTGTGTCCCCCCGCTGGCGCGCGCCCGGGCCGCAGTGGGCACCTCCCCGAGCCTGGGCCATCCCAGCCCCCAGCAGGCCGCTGGAAAAAAGGAGGGCGCGGGGCCGGATCCACGATATCCCGGTATTGGGCCCGGGGCACACACACCCGTATGTGCAGTTGTGTAAGCTTGCAGCGTGTGTGTGTGTGCGTGAGAGTGTGTGTGTGTGTTTGCGTGTGCGTGTGTGAGTATGTGTGTGTGTTTGCGTGTGTGTGTGTTTGCGTGTGTGTGTGTGTATGTGTGTGTGTGTGTGTGTGCGTGAGAGTGTGTGTGTGTGTGTGTGTGTGTGTGTGGTGTGTGTGTGTGTGTGTGTGTGTGTTTGTTTGCGTGTGTGTGTGTGTGAGTATGTGTGTGTGTGTTTGCGTGTGTGTGTTTGCGTATGTGCGTGCGTGCGTGCGTGCGTGCGTGCGTGCGTGCGTGCGTGCGTGCGTGTGTGTGTGTGTGTGTGTGTGTGTGTGTGTGTGTGCGTGCGTGCGTGCGTGCGTGCGTGCGTGCGTGCGTGCGTGCGTGCGTGCGTGTGTGCGTGCGTGCGTGCGTGCGTGCGTGCGTGTGCGTGTGTGCGGGTGCGTGTGCGCATGTGTGTGTGTGTGTGATCGCGTGCACGCGCAAGAACACAGTACCGCGTTTGTGCGCCCTGGTGAACTTCTATTAACCGCTTCGCTCATTCCGCCAGCTCATTTCGCATCATGGTGGCTGCATGGTGGCGTGCTCGCACCCATGGGTAACAGTTGATTAGGGCAGGCAGGACTGTCCTCGGAGGTTTTGGGAGATGTGGCTCGCACCCTGTCGAAGAGAGCCGATCGACTGCCCAGAGGAGGCCAAGATGGATTAAGAGAGCTCCAGCGGAGTTTCGAGACGCACCTGGGTTGTGGGTCAGAGTCCTCGTGGATGCTTCTTGGGATCTCGTCGGAGGGCTCTCGGGAGCCTCTGGGGAGCAGTTTTGAGGGCTCCAGGGAGCCTCACAGGGGGCTTCTTGGGGGCCTCGTGGGGCTTCCTGGGGGCATGTTGGGAGTCTTGGGAAGGAGCCTCTTTTGGAACCTCTTTGGGGCCTCTTGGGACTTCTTGGGGAGCTCTTGGGGGGGGGGGTCCTCGGCGCCTCTGGGAGCCGAGAGCTCGAAATGTCTGTTCGGGTTCCCCCTCTGGGCCCCCTCTTGGAGCTATCCTGGGGCCCTCTTGGGCCGTCTTAGGGCAATTTTGGGCACTTTGGGGGCCCTCTTTGAGGCTTTTTGTATCGTTTTCGAGCGATCTTGGGGCCTCTTGGGCCGTCCAGGGCGGTCGGTAGCTCGAAAAGGCGGTACCGCCAAAGTCGCCCGAAAACCTAAGCGATACCATTGATTTTTGCGTATCCGGGGTATCTCGAAGTCCTTTTGGGGTCCTCTTGGAGCGTCTTGGGCATTTCTTGGCCCTTCTTGGGACCAACGTGGGCCAACTTGGACCGCTTTTGGCTTGTGGCCACGGTGCGTGCCACCATTGGGGCGCCTCATTGGGGCGCTCGGGCGGTACGAGTTCCGGCATCTCTGTTCCGAACTTGCCGGGACCTCGCCAGGGTTTTGTTCGTCCGTTGATCCCCAGGGGCCGCCACGCACGCAACAACTAGAGACATTCTTAAATTCTTCACGCTTCGCGTATCCCCACCAGCCCATCCCCAGACAGCAACTCCAGCGAAGCATGCCGACAGTCGTGTTTTTCAGGCGTATTTCTGCCTGCTCCCGCATATATAGCCTGTTCCTATGTCCTCCTGCCGCCTTGTACATCCACCTAGTGGGGGGAGCGGGAGGAGGACGAGTCCGAGGAGGAGGAGGGAGAGAAGGTGTTGGGAGGGAAGACAGAGGGCGGTCGTCGTCGTTTCACACACGTGAACGAATCAGACGACTCAAATGACGGCGACGCCTCAGACGATGACGGCGACGACGACGACGACGACGACGACGACGATTACGATGACAACGACGACGTCGGCGACGACGATGCAGGCGACGACGACGACGACGATCCAGCGTTCTCCCCCGACCAGTTGTGCAGTGAGCGTAACTCGGCACGGATGGGCAGGTCTCCCTCTGAACGCATAGTTCGGAGAGCGGCAGTGAGCTTAGCTCCGCCCATCCAGCAACCTGCCCGACCAGTTGTGCAGTGAGATCTAGAGACCGCCAGCGGGCTACACCACAGCACACCACACGACACCACAGCACACCACGCCACACCACGGCACGCCACGCCACGCCACGCCATGCCACGCCACGCCACTCAACCCATACCAGCACGATCAGTAAACGCGACAGGAATCAGAAAAGGAACCAAGAATCAGCAAAGGCGAGATCGGAAGAATCAGCAAAGGAGAGATTTCAGGAACCACACCGCACTGCACCGCACTAGACCACCCCGCACCAACACCACACCACACCGCACCACACCGCACCGCACCACACTAGACACCACTGCTCACCACTACAAACCTCTACGCACGACACCGCACAACATCAGACGACGAGACTTCAGCCCTAGAGGCCCCCAGGGCTCGCCACGAGGTCACCAAGGCTCTCAGGAGAGGCCCAAGTCTATATTTCCTCCAGCGTTGTCGTCGCTGTTGCCATTCTGGTTCACAGTGTTGCAGTGTGGCTGTGAGCTTAGCTCCGCCTACCAGCAATCGCTTCCGTCTACCAGCAATCGCTTCCGTAGTCATGGAGAAGCGCCCGTGCGCTCTGGCAACCTTGCTAGCCACGGGGGCTCCTTGGAGCGAGCAGCGCGAGGGCACGTCCTTCGACGACTTCATGCGGGACACGTCTGGAGCATCGATCGATGGTGGCGGTCCGTCGCAAAGCCAAGATTTTGAATTTAGCTGCGCGCATCCGTCTCGGAACGGGTCGAATAGCTTGCTGAAAGGTCCTGCCGCATGCCAGTTTCCAGATGCGCGAGAGACTCCGCGCGTCATTCTTGGAGCGCGTGGCGCATGGTTACCGTCTTGCGAGGCTGACGTCATCCACAGTACGTTGCCCGGCAAGTCAGTCGGGAAGTTTTGGGTGGCTGTGCGCGCCGATGAGGAGGTGGTCATTGCCTCTCCTTTTGGCAGCGACCGGTCGTCGCCGTACCGGCGTCGCCCAGCAGACATCGCGGATTGCCTGCCGCCAGAGCTACTCGGGCGAATAAAACGGAACGCCCTGCAAGCAATAGACTACGCGGAGCAGGCCATCGCGAACAAGAAAGGTCAAAGTTCTAAGAGGCAGAGGGGGGATGGCAGCGGTGAGTTGAATTGCATGAGGAAGCTCGTCGCTCAGTTGGGCACGAAGGAGCTGCCTCCTCCGGAGCGCCGCAGCACTGCCTGGAAAGCTTGCGGTGACACGGTGTTTGCGCCGGCGCATATCGTGGCTCGGGGGTGCAGTTGCGGCCGCCTGGAGAAGTTCGCCGTGCACATGTCCGTCGACTGCCGCGGCTTAGGGCCCAGCAACGCGGCTCGCAAGACCACGTTCAACGTGGAGGCAGAGGTCGCGCCAGCGCTGCTGCATGCGGCGAAGGGCAAGCTGCTGTGCGAACTGCGGGCGGGGTCTGTTCGCAACGAAGATGTGGTGCGTCTGAAGGTCCACGAGGACAACCTCGGTTGTGCTTCCATCGTGTGCAACATGCGCACGTTCACTGACAGGGGCGCCCGTTGGCGCGTTGACTCCGACGGCGACTTCGCAACCGACAAGCACCGCATGCTGTGGATGATAAGTACGCGCGTACTGTCGAGCATAGGCATCCAGGGCAATTCGCTTAGCGCAGCCCATCGAGATATTCGCACTGCTAGACCGCGCGTTAGCCCAGATAGCCTCGAAGCGGCGTACCAGAGCGGAACGCTCCATGTCGTAATGGCCGCGCCGAGGAAAGATATACGCTACTCGCATCACTCTGGAGCCAGAGGTGCACGCAGATGGAGAGCATCTCGGCGTTATCCTTGAATGGGTTGGCAACCGAGTATTCCAGCGCGCCGCCCTTGTTCGCAGCGCTACTGCGGAGAATACTCTTGGGCTCGGCGCTCTGCGGTCTGCCTTTTCCATAGCGCAGCCTTGGCGTGGACCGCCAGTCGCAGTCGGAAATGTGCTGAAGAATAGAGTCTCTCCATCGTCTGACTTCATCCAGACGGTATTGCGCAGGCGCGGCATTCAGCTGTCGGACGATCAGAAGCGATGCATGGAGATCATCAACGCGTCGGACAATCATCACTTGGTCATACAGGCTTTTGCAGGCACTGGAAAGTCGCTACTTTTAGCTTTGCTGGTCGAGGCAGCGTTGGCCGACGTGGGCACGCGGAATGGCGCAGTGGTGATCGTGACTCCTTCGCGTAATCTGCGTGACTCCATATTACAAGGTCCGGATTTCCTAGGCAACGTGTTCGTGGCGGATGATTGCGGGCCCCGAGTTGTTTGGCTTGGGCGACCTTCAGATGCTCCCGGGGCGTTAAGCACATGGGTAAATAAGGTTGCGGACTTGGTGCAAGAACGGCTGCGCCCACTGCGCGCAGAGGTGGAAGAGCTGGAAGCTTCGGTTCTACGCCCTGCTTTTCAGCGTACCTTGGAGTTCAGCATCTCCCGGAATGAGCTGCCAGCGGCCTCTGTTGTCGCGGTCGAGGACGCTGTGTTCGCGGCGCTGGAGGAGTTCCGCGGCCATGCTCGCCAGCACATGCTACAGATCTTTGCCATCAAACGGCGAAGGGCGGAGCACTGGGACGACGTCATCACAGAAGGCACCAACGGTTATCTCATTGTTTCAACAATGGATTATTTCGTCAAGTGGCGGGCGGGAGGCATTCAAGAATACATGAACCGTTTGTTGGATCGCCTGGAAGTTCTTGGACGAGTTGCAACCGATTCCGGAATGGTGGAGCAAAGCCTTGGGACGATGAGCTACCGCGCGGTGCCCGTCGAGCCAGACTCTTTCCACACGTTTTAGGGGCCACCGATCGCCGAGATCTCTCGCTGCGCCGCTGCCTGAGCGCCTGAGCGCCGCTGCCTGCTCTTCGACCAAGTCGACCAGGCTCGACGGCCTGTGCGAAAACATGTGTGTCCTCTTCAGAGTCC